CCTGATGGGATCCTGCTAAGTGAAATAAAACAGAGACAAACACCATGTGAACTCACTTCTTTGTGGGTGGTAAAGATTTTTTTTAAATGCATAAACAAAACAACCAAACAAACCCTCAGCTTTGACATCAGAATGGCAGAAAGTCGATGGGTGGGGGAGGGGTGGCGCTAAGTGGAAACCAGAATTTGGTGGCAGGTGTGGTGCAGTACATACAGATGTTGAGGTATGAGACCGTACACCTGAAACTTGTACTGTTGTAAATCAAATCTTACCTCAATTTAAAAAAAAAAAACAAACAACTTTATCTAAACTACTGTAAGGTTTGCACTAGGATGTTCTTTGTCTTGGCTGAGTAGCTTCTGCTGATATACAGTGAGTGGATTCAACGAGGAAGAGCATATCTTTGAGTAAAACCTAAGCTTTACCAAGTCCACTGAACTATGTGAACCTTATAAAGAGTCTATATCTTTCCAGCCCCTGAACCTACGCCCGCCCCCAACCCTGGTTTAAGAAGGATCTACAGAGCATTCCCAGGCCATAATTTAGTGGACGTGGTCCAGCCTCCGATACTTATCACTGACAAAAGCCTATGAACACAGACAGGAATTGAGTCTATAAGCACTCTTAGTTTTTAGATCCCTGGCCATCAATCTGAGAGAACGGTGGGCAGAGTACCCTGAAGAACCTGTTCTGTCATCTCATCTCCAGTTGGCCTTTTATATTGAGTTAAACAAAAATAGTCATAAACAGCCCATCACGTTGATGTTCCTGGTATTTGTCATTTTCAGCCCCCAGAGTTTGTTATCAGCCTCCAGGTTATCTTGACCTTGGTACATCCTGGCCTGCTTGGTTAATTCCTGATGGCGTCAATATCTGGCACTCAATGGGCATCATTGGAGCAGGAATCCAAGTTCAAAGCAAGAGTTTTAGTTTAAAGAAAACAGATCATTAGTCATATGGTTTGTGCGTGCAGCCTGCGCCAGGCGAGCAGATTCCTGTACCAGGCCTGGTGCCCTCCCCCCTCCCAGCCCCTGTCAACACTGGGCTCTCAGGACCGATTTCTTAACACAGCGTGCACTTCTGCCACCTGCCGTGGTGGTAAATATTTGCCCACAAAGACAGACTTATTCTATGAGAACTTACACCGAAGCATTAAGAAATAAAGCATTTTTGATTAACCAACACGATGGGCATTTATCCAGAATGAGCCATGAATAAAAATCGGCTTCTTTTTTTTTAGACTTATTTTATTTATTTATGCATACAAGAACGAGGGAGTAGACCAGAGGTTCAGTGGGGAGGGAGTGGTGAGAGGATTCGTAGAGACAGAGTGGGGAACAGAACAGGCGGATCTATTGAAATACACTGCTGAGGGGTGTAGCGGGGAGACAGGAGAGGTCTGCCGCGCCATGTGGGTCAGCTCCTTGGGTAGGGATGGAACTCTTGCCA